TTGGAAAAAAATAAAAAATAAAATAAAAGTGTATTTCTTAAGTTTCAAGCGTATAGCTCTTGCATTTCTTTAAAGTTTTACTATAAATCTCTGTATCCCCAAATAATATTTTAACATGATATCAGCATATACGCTTTGAAACTTTACATAAATTGAACCCTACTCCATGTATTTTTTAAGAAAAGAAGCGTTTTCACTCTCTTGTAAACGTATGAGAGCCAGTCTCGTTGACACTTACTCTGGCCTCACTGCTGTATATAATAGCCCATTACAGAACCACATCATAACTTGAAGGTGCCTCATTATGGGCATTTAGGGACTGTTACCAAATTTCACCATTACAAAATATTATCAGAAACATCTTCCTACAGGTCTTCTCATACACACATGTAAGGTCTCTCTGACGTACTTAATTAGGAGTAGAATTGCATTTTCAACTTTGTTTTTGCCAAATTATTCTCTAAAATGGTTGCAGTGACCAGTAGACTATTGCTCTTTTATCAACAGTGTATCAATTCTCTTCCTGTTTATGTCACATATTTACCAATACTCTTTAAATTTTTAACAATCTGATGGGTGTGAAAGAACAGACCCTAGTTTTCTTTTCTCTTTTTTTTTTTTAATTTTTTTTTAACATTTACTCATTTTTGAGAGACAGAGAGAGACAGAGCATGAGCGGGGAAGGGGCAGAGGGAGAGGGAGACACAGAGTCCGAAGCAGGCTCCAGGCTCCGAGCTGTCAGCGCAGAGCTCGACGCGGGGCTCGAACTCACGAACTGCGAGATCATGACCTAAGCCAAAGTCGGACGCCCAACTGACTGAGCCACCCAGGCGCCCCAGGCCCTAGTTTTCATGTGCATTTATCTCATCTTACCAGGAAGGTAAAATACGTTTTCATATTTTTTACTATTTGTGTCTCCTCTTCTGTGAATTATGTTTGTACCTGTAGCCTTTTTTCCTACTAAGTAGTTTGGTTTTTTTCTTTTTGAACTGTAGAAGTTCTTGAATATACTGTGAATACTAACCCTCTTTTGATTATAGTACAAAAAAATGAATGTACCTTTAACCTTTCTATGGCTTAGTTTTTTTAGAATGATTTATTATTACAAAACTCAAACAACAGAAAACAATCCACCATTCACTGATCTATACATATGTGATAAAACTACATAATAAAAGGGAATAACAAACACTTATAAATTATGGTTATCTCTAGGGGTGCCTGGGTGTCTCAGTCGGTTAAGCATCTGACTCTCGGTTTTGGCTCAGGTCATGATCTCGTGGTTTCCGGAGTTCAAGCCCCATGTTCGGCCCTGCACCGGTAGCATGGAGCCTGCTGGGATGCTCTCTCCCTCTCTCTGCTCCTTCCCAACTTGCACTGTCTCTCTTTCTCTCTGTCTCAGAATACATAAATAAAAATCTTAAAAAAAAAATTACAGTTATCTCTAGAAGGAGGCAGGCTAATGTGAACAGAAAGTAGATGTAATAATGATAATGTTCTTATTTGTAAATTGGTTGATGAATTCACAGGTGTTCCTTTAATTATGACCCATTATTGCTTATATATTACAATCTTATGTGTGTATCAAAATATTAAACGTGAAAAAAGAAAGTCATTTGTAACTGCAGATACACAGACACATAAAGGTACACTTATTCTTACCTGACAGATAACAGCTTATAAATGGAAGAAATAATCCCACACTTAGGTACATTTTGGGACATAGTGAATGAATCAGGAAGGAAAGAAAGCAATGGAGAGTAAGAGAAAAGGATGAAGTGTGGAAGGGAGGATGGAAGAAAGGGAGAAGGAAAGAATATAGGAAAGAGGCAAAGGAAAAAGGGATGGAAGGAAGAAGAGAGGGAAGTAGAGGAGCCAGAAAGGAGAGAAGGAGGAACTGTCTTCATTCCAAAATCATAAAGAGAATCTTTTGTATTTTCTTCGTGCAGCTTTGCTTTTCACCATTTAGGATTTACTCTGCCTGGAGGGGACTATAAAGATACGGGATGTGTAGGATACAAAAAATGAAATCCAATTTTCCTCTATGTAGATAACTCAAATTGTCTCATCACACTTGTTACTGAAGAATTCATCCTTTTTAATGCTACCCTCTATCTATTATATTTCCATATACGGTCTGGTCTCTTTTTGGATTGTTTACTCTGTATCACGAGTCTATTTCTTTGTATCTACACCACAGCATTACTACCAAGTAAGTTGTGTTACCTGGTAGGACGAGTCTTTCTACCCTGTCCTTCAAATTTACCCTTTCTATTACTGCCCTTGTCCATATAAATTTCTTTCTTTAAAAAAAAAAATAATAAGTTTATTTATTTTGAAAGAGACAGTGCATGAGTGGGGAGGGGAAGACAGAGAGAGGGAGACAGAGAATCCCAAGCAGGCTCTACAGCTGTCAGCGCAGAGCCTGATGCAGGGCTCAAACTCATGAACTTTGAGATCATGACCTGAGCCGAAATCAAGAGTTGGACGCTTAACTGAATGAGCCACTCAGGCGCCCCTCAATATAAATTTCTTAATCACCTTCTCAAATTCAGTAGAAAGCCCGATGATAATTATCAATGCTATCGAAATTAATTTATGTAGTAACATGAGGAAAATTAACATTATTAAGACACTGAGTATTCCTATACATGAACCTGAGATAGATTTCCATTCATCTAGGTATGCTTTCATCTCTAGTATTGTTTTTCAACAAAAACTTTATAGTTTTCTCAAAAAAATCATAACTTATCATTATTTTTTAAATGCTCTGCAACTGTTAGATATTTAGAAGGCTCTCAAAGCTTTATTATTGACTATCACAATAAGCAACCATTTTAAGAATAAAATATCTGGTTGACTTTCTAGACTGTTCTTTAGGGCCAAATCTTAGAGGTCTGTCACCTGGAAGTTTTTGAGGAGAGCACTGAGGAAAGTGAAAGTCCTATTACTAATTTCTATTTTTTCTGAATCTCGGTGTCTAATTTTTTTAAAATTCAGAGTATTCTAAGGGCACCTGGATGGCTCAGTCGGTTAAGTGTCTGACTTCAGCTCAGGTCATGATCTCGCAGTTTGTGAGTTCGAGTTCTGCATGGGGTTCTGTGCTAACAGCTCAGATTCTGAGCCTGACTCTGATTCTGTGTCTCCCTCTCTCTCTGTCCCTCCCCAACTTGCACTCTGTCTCTCTCTCTCTCAAAAAAATAATAAACATTGAAAAAAAAAATGTTTTTTTAATTCAAAGCATTCTATTTTATCTCACTTCATCATACTAAAAAAAGAGTTCTTTTGGGGTGCCTGGGTGGCTCAATCGGTTAAGCGTCCAACTTCAGTTCAGGTCATGATCTCACAGCTCATGAGTTTGAGCCTCACGTTGGGCTCTGTGCTGACAGCTCAGAACCTGGAACCTGCTTCAGGTCCTGTGTCTCCCTCTCTCTCTGCCCCTCCCCCACTCACACTCTCTGTCAAAAATAAACATTTAAAAAAAAAAAAAAAGAGTTCCTTCATATATATGACCAGGTGTGTCATACCAATACAAATATAATTCATGATATAATTTTATAACTTTAAGTAACCTGTTTAGAAGACTAGTCCTAATGACAAACCAGGAAGAAAAAAAACAAACCTTGATTTAAAAAAAAAAGTCAAATTCCATCTTCCATTAGAATGTTTAAAATTGAGAAATGAATTTATAAAAGGTAGGATTTAGTCACTTTAAGTTACGTTTGAGTACTGGAGTTTATTTAGCAACATTTAGCTAAGCTCTAGTTCGCAAAGCACTGATCTCTGTCACCAGAGACATGGCTGCTTAGTCCACCACCAGTAGCTTCCGGATGATCGCTGAACAGAAGAAAGTTGGGGCAGAACTGTTTTGGTCATGTCTCGAGGTAAATGGAAGAAGGAGCAACAGCCCTGGACTCTCCTTGTTCTATCGTGATAAAAGAGATCAGTAAGAAGTAGAAAAACGGTATTAACTGACCAGAATTTCAATAACAATGTGAAAAAACAATAAAATCTTAAAAAGAAGTAAAATAAAGGTATGCCGCCCATTCAGCTCTCCTCTCCCAGTGAGCACCATCTGTAGCACCTGAACTCAACCCTCTTTTTTTTAATCCTAGGAAGAATTAAATCCATCCCATTTGTGAAAGCCTCTATGAGTAGCAGCAGTTACATTCAAAATAAGAGGGAGAAAAGAAAGAAAATAAGTATCCATAAGATTTATGTGAGGAAAACACACACACACACACACACACACACACACACACACACACACACACACACACACACAAACCTTAGAGCAATCCTTAGCAGATGAAAATTTAGCAGGTGTAAACGACTTTTCTTAAAATACTTTCCATTGAAAAACAATAAAACTTTGTAACATAAAATAAAACACAGATGTGGGAAGCAACACAAAATCTGTGTATATTAACAAAATAACAGTGTTATATCTTTGGAATGGGATCTGTAGAGGGGCATAAAATGATTCTTTTCACTTTGAATAGTAATTGACATTTTTTTACCATAAGCTCATAGTAGTTCTGTAATAATAACTTTTTAAAGACCAATTAAAGTTAAATCCATTAGAGCTAAACAGGAGAATCAAGCCACAAAATTTATCTGTTTTTTTTTTTAAGTATCTGCTGAAGTCACACAGCTCTGGGTCTACTTAGGAGATGAATGATCTCTGGACATTCAACTCTGAATCACATGCCTAGCACAGTACCTGAAACATTCTAGAATATTAAATGTGAATACTCTATTCAATAAAAATGCTTTTACTTTAAAAAGTATTTTAATCTCTTTCCATCTTCATCCAGTCCTTTATCACAAAAAATACATATTTACTCATGTTACATATCTCATGGAGGGGAAAACGAGGCCAAGAAGAGTTAAACGTAACATGTAAATGGCCTTTTCAATACATGAACTTCCATTATTAAGAAACTAATATTCCAAAAGGGAGCGCGGCCCACCACGTACAAGGCTCAGAACTCACTTACCTGGTGTGTCCTAAAGATTCTCGCCATATTGGCAGCATCACAACAGGCTTAACCGCACACTCCAAAATAGCTAAAGCCAATGCAAATTCTCTGGGTTTGCTACACATCTGAACTGCCTTGATCCAATTCGCCCTGTATGTCAGAAGAAGAAAAAAAAATTCTTTCACTTGTTGGTCTTCAATTAAAAGCACAAGAGTTGTGATTCATGACTCCACCTCATACGGCAGATGTTTCTAGGCCAAGCAAGTATCAATACACTGCTACTGGAAGTTCCTAACTCACCGAGTCACAGATTTTGAACACTAGAAGGAATCCCAGAGGTCAGTTAGTCTTTCAACTCCTTAAATGTTCTACAGTGCTCTGGAACTTTGTCTTGCCTTCACTTGACTCCAGGGATAAAGACTTTGCTTTCCAGGAATCTTCCAAATGCTAATGCTGGTTCAATAACTTGGAAGTACACTCACATCCCTCATATCCTCAGTGTTTTGCTGCCTAAACTGACTGCATTCAATTTATTGGTAACAAGTTTAAAGTGAGCACCTGCAACAAGCATTTCGCAAATATTTAGTATAGTCACAGCAATAAATGACCCTTAGTGTCCTTTACCTGTGTGAAGCCCAATTTGGATGAAGAAAGGATGAAGGGATATTGTTTTCCAGTTGGGTGATAGTCAGCCTCAGTGTAGATATGGTAAGAACTTTGGACCCATGGACAGAACCATTCCATTTGAACTCTCCTGCTGGAGTCAGACAGAATTTATGTGCAAGATGCCTTCTCTTATCATGATCTTCTCTGTGCTGGTGCTTATTCAAAGCAAATGAATTGGTGGAGTATTGATTGTGGTAGACTCGATACTTCCCTTCTTGACCCAACTTAAAATAATTGTTGATATTTCCTTTCATGACCACTTCCTTTTTGGTGCTCAACCGTGAAATTTCTCCTTGAGAGTTAACTACCAGTACCTGACCAAGAAGATAAAGAGATTCATTATTCATATCAAATATGTAAACTTGATCAACTGTCTTTTAATAATTTGTAATTTATCATTCCAAATAAGGTATACCTTATGACTGAACTTTTGAAATGTTACGTTTATTTATTTTGAGAGAAACACAGAGTCTACAAACAGGGGAGGGGGAGAGAGAGAGAGAGAGAGAGAGAGAGAGAGAGAGAGAGAGAGAGAGAGAGAGAGAGAGAGAGAGAGAGAGAGAGAGAGAGAGGAAGAGACAGAGAATCCCAAGCAGGCTCCACACTGTCAGCACACAGCCCAACCTGGGGCTTGAACTCATGAACTGTGAGATCATGACCTGAGCCCAAATCAAGAGTCAGACGCTTAACCGACTAAGCCACCCAGGTGCCCCGTGAACTTCTGAAATTTATAAGCGAAATTAAAAGCTAAAGCTAACTGTTTACAATTAAACAACCAAGATCTTCCCACAAAGAGAATCTCTATTATACGTCAGACATTATTATTTTCATGCATCTCAAATACACACACAAAACTGCATGTGTATATCATTCACCAATCGTTAGTTCCAGCCTAAAAAACACAGGTTAGGGAAGAAGGAAACCATGGCATGTACTATTCCCCAAAAGATATATTCCTAAAAATATCTTTTCTTCTGCTCCTTTTATCATTCCAGCTTTAGCATAAGAGCCCACAGATACTTTAAAATCATGTTTTCAAACAGTTGATCCCAATCCTTTAGTGAACCATGAAATCGACAGTGGATCATATTCAACTTTATAAAAAACAAAGTATAATATACTCGAGTAGACTAGAAGAGAAAACACCACAGTGCATCACACACAGTAAGGTAAAATCCTTTTTCAGGAAACTATTGAATAGGAGTCCTGGGTTGCTAAGAAAAATGTCATACTAAGGGTCAGAGTGAAAAACCAGCTTGAAAACTGCTGCTTTAAAGCAACTCCTATAGGGGCGCCTGGATGGCTCAGTTGTGTAAGCATCCAACTTCAGCTCAGGTCAAGGATCTCACAGCTCATGAGTTCGAACCCTGTGTGTCGGGCTCGGTGCTGACAGCTTGGAGTCTGGAGCCTCTTTGGATTCTGTGTCTCCCTCTCTCTCTGCCCCTCCACCACTTGTGCCCTGACACTCTCTCTCTCTCTCTCTCTCTCTCTCTCTCTCAAAAATGAAAAAAAAAAAAAAATTAAAGAAAAAAAAATAAAGCAACTCCTACAATGTTTATAAAAGAATATTGTATATTCTTGCATATCTACCTTGTAAATAATTCTTAAATGTGGGAGACACATTGTGGCATTATTCTGCCACCCTGGCTAGCTGGGGGGCAAATACTAAGTCCTAGCTGGGGTGCCTGGCGGGCTCAGTTGAGGTTTTGAGTTCGAGCCCCACACTGAGTATGGAGATTACTTTAAAAAAAATTTTTTTTTTAATTACTAAATCCTAGCTTCGGTCTTTTTGTTCATAATCAGAGCTAGGATGCTGTGCTGTTCTATGCACTGTACTCTGCTACTATCATGGGGCAAGCAGAGACCCATCCACTAGCTGCAGGTTCAGCTAAATTTATTATAACCAGAACTGAGCATTAAGTCATCTATAACTCTTTACTAAAGCCCACAAACAGGGTACTCATTACCATATGTGTAAAAGAAGGCTCTATCTCTTTAGAATTATATACAATAAAACTAGCCATACAGAAAGAAAGTATACCACCCATTTATAGCATTTCCCTGCATGAACTGAAATTTGGGTACACAACTATACTTACTGTAATACAGGATGAAACTAACCACTTTCAATCTGGTTACCCACTATACTCTTGGAAGGAGAGCAAATAGAATTCAAAAGGAGGTCTACAAACTTCCCATCCCTATTTTTAAGGCATGATAAATAAAATTATTTCACACGCCAGAGATTTTTGTGTTAAGCAGAAAAAACATACCTCTTTGCCCTCCTTAAATAATTTATTTGCTTCATGGGCTGCAGCAGCCACCTGTTGGCTCTTCAGCTGACTCAGCTTGCTGTCTGGATTCCGTAATCTGGTGATAATTCGAGTTGACCCAGATGTCCCTCTTCCAGCTCCAGGAGACTCACTTATTTCTCCATTAGACTTCTCTGATTTGAAATCACCTGTTAGCAAACGAAAAGCCAAAAGTAAATGCTAAGAGTAAGTAAGTTATAACAATTTCTGATTTATCCAAAACTCATACCTGATGCACATCTAAGATCCAGAAAGTAAACAAAAAGTCCTTGAATAGCCAAAGCAAATGTATTCATTCTTAAGGGTTTTGCTTAGAAGAAAGTATGTCAGAACTTTACTGTCATTTATTATTTTACAGAAAATTCAAACATGCCAGGTTATCTGTACAAAGCACATCTACTAGAAAACATGAAGGGCTGCTACAAATTTATAAACATCATAACTCAAAATGCACACTAATAAAATGTTGCCTCATATATTCAATGTGGATTTTGTATAAAAAGTAAATGATATAATTAATTTTAGAAAGATGTCCACTGAAATTGTTTAAATACATAATAGTTTAAAGCTTATAAACATAAATGCCAAGTGAATTTTCACCTAAGAAATCTAGATAGTTATCTGTGTATACAAGTAATTATACATGCAAAATCAACTAAATCAGGTTTTTTTAATGTTATAAAGACCTCTCACATTTTCATAATAACTTAATTTTTTTTTTTAAGTGACAGATTGTTATGCCAAGGGACATTTTCTGCTTTTCCATGAATCTCACTTTGGCTGAGAATTTCTCTACATTCTTAAAACTTTTGCATCACTATCCAATTTCCACTGGCCAGATAGCTGAACAAGATTTCCCTTTTCAATTTAAAACCTTTTAAAATTTGGGTCGCCTGGGTGGCTCTGTTGGTTAAGCATCCGACTTCGGCTCAAGTCATGATCTCATGGTCCATGAGTTCGAGCCCCACATCGGGCTCTGTGCTGACAGGCTCAGAGCCTGGACCCCGCTTCCAATTCTGTGTCTCCCTCTCCCCTTGCCCATCCCCTGCTCACTCCCTGGTTCTCTCTTCTCAAAAACAAATAAACGTTAAAAAAAAAAAATTATAAAGTTTTTTAAATTAAGAATTGTGTGGCACTGGAAAATGAAAGATTAAACAGAAAACTTGCTATATTTTATAAAAATTGCACTTTGAGTAGAAAAAAAATTAGAATGGGAAAACTATTTTAGAAAATATAAAATTCAGGAAAACATTTCTTAATTTTATCTGACCAACACCCCTTCTTTCCTTTGGAGATATGCTTTTCCCCTACTTCAGTCATATTATTCAGCCAGGGCTACAAAATAATTATCCTGCTATATTGGGTAAACAATGTCACCCAGCTTGGCCAGAGAGAGCATATCACTGCCTGGCCACAGTGACTGTCCAGATCTGGCTATGTGGCCCCAGCCATTCAGCCCACTACTCTAATTTTCAAAATCTGGTGACAGATAAAGCCTCTTGCTTTTTTAAAATTCTATTTTATTTTATGTACGTATGTATGTAATCTCTACACCCAACATGTATGTATGTATGTATGTATGTATGTATGTATGTATGTATATAAACAATCTCTACATCCAATGTGGGGCTTAAACTCTCGACCCCAAGACCAAAAGTTGTATGCCCTTCTGACTAAGCCAGCCAGGCACCCTGGTCTTGTTTTTTGTGTTAGTGAGCAGAAAGAGTATAAATTAGGGGTTGTCTACTTTTATCTCACAACATGGAAAAAAGTTTCAACAATAAGAGACAATAAGTTATTGGGGAGGGAGGGTGGATAAGAGGAAGAGGAAGACCCATGGTAACCTCGTTTGGCTCCCACGGTTCAATAATGCACCTGAGGCTGTCTGTCACTCCCTCCAGACTTCCCAGAAGCATGAGCCAATTAAATTCTCTTTTTATTGTAAGCAAGTCTGGTGGATTTCTGTCACTTACAACCAATAAATTCTAAATAATCCAGTAGAATATTTAAAAATGTTTGAGCCCAAAATATGGCACTAACTAAATCAAGGTAGGGTACAGGTATTATCAGGTGTTTTTCTGGCCCAGGTTGAAAAGGCTGAAACCTTCGATGTGTGACATCAAAGCGGTTGGTCAGACTATCAACAATTTTCTCTTAGGTCTCAGACCATGAGCCTACCAATGTTGAAGTTCATACCAAGAAGTTGAACTACAGTAGCTATTTCCTGGGACCATTAATACGGCCCTACAATAAACACTTTATAGAAAGCATCTGATCTAGGCTAAATTTCCTAAAAGCAGCAAGGGCAAGCACAGTGCTTTTTAAGAGAAGCCCTTCAACTAAGAACCTGAGAGTCCATCCTTTGACACTTTGCTAAGGTGCCTTTTTTTTTTTTTTTTTTTTTTTTTTTTTTTTAGGTTTATTTATTTATTTATTGAAGTGATCTCTACTCCCCATGTGGAGCTAAACTCAAGGAACCGAAGATCAAGAGTCGACCCAAGGGGCACCTGGGTGGCTCAGTCGGCTGAGCCGACTTTGTCCGACTTTGACTTCGGCTCAGGTCCCGTCATGATCTCATGGTTCGTGAGGGGAGTTCGAGCCCCACACTGGGCTGCCTGCTGTCAGCCTGCTTCCGCACAGAGCCCGCTTCGTTTCCCCAGCTTGAGCTCTCTCAAAAATAAATTAATATTAAAAAAAAGAGTTGACCCCCAAGATCAAGAGTCACAAGCTCTTGCAACTAAGCCAGCCAGGCACCCCTGACACTTGCTAAATTGCATGCAAATAAGAGAAAGGAGGTATAAAATTCATCCTTAGGGGTAAGACTTGAAGTGGCAGAGAAAGGGAACAAGGCCTGTCTAACACCCCCTACCCAGAGGCCACATTCCTCCCATTATAAAGGAGTGAATCACTTCCATGCAGCCTGGAGGCAGAGTACAGAGCGGCTTTAAGCCAGCCTCTGGAGCTCGTTGTTTAAGGATGGCAGGAGGCAGAAGCCTAGGCAGACTTTATTTACCTGAAGGCTAGGGAATCTGGTCTGAAGAGGAGACCCACAGAGCAAGTACGGTGGCTACACCTTCAGAGACCCTGAGCAGAGTTTCTGGGTATTAGGTGCTAGGCTGGGAACCCAGGCAATCTACCAGGGAGTGCTACTGCCAGAAAAAACTCCCAATCTGCCATGCTGAGAGAGATGATTATTTAAACCTACAGCAATCCCCAGCAACCCATTCTGGAAAACAGCCAGCAAGAACCAGGCTGCTAAAGCAGATTGGCCTCTGGAAGGGGGATCTTCCCAGGTACTTCTCACATTTCATCCACAGCCATCCTCCAAAACACCAAGGGCAGCCAGATTCACCAGAGAATACCTTCCACTATCAGGAGAGCAAGTGTTATAGAAAGTTTAAATTCATAATCTGGCTCACAGATTGTGAGATTGAGAGAAGCTACATCCAGACCAAATCAAAAACAATACACAATACCCAGAAGTTCTAGATAAAGTTACAATTACCAGATGTACTTTTGGGAAGTTTTGAAAACCTCTTCAGTTGTGGTGAGATCTTCACATTGTGTTCAGCAGAGACAGTTTTAAATTTGAGTAAATACGTTTGTGCCGAGCTACCAAAGGGTAGAGCTGTGGGTACTTGTTTCCTATCTTTGCAGCATCCCTCTTTCTTTGGAAAACCACTCCTACCCCGCTCCAGTCATACACTTTTGCTGGAGCCATCAAGTATAATACCTTGCCTGCCCTGGCCACAGGAGTGGGAACAATATGTCCAAGATAGGCCACTCAAATTTCTTCCTCAAGGACTTTTGATTTGGAGCAGGAGTAGGGGCCTTGCCTTTGGGTCACAGACCTTGGAAAGATAGGAATACAAACCGCTGGTGCCATCTTCCCTGCCACTTGGAAAAAGCCTGTCTGCATCAGGAGAGAATGAAGTTAACACACAAACACATGCCGATCAAAAGGTGGGAGAGAAAGAGAGGAAGACAGAAAAGCTTTGATACCTGGGGGTCCAGGTATCTGAACTTCCCAATTACATGAGCTAATTACATTCCCTTTTCACTGAAGCTACTCTGAGCTGGTTTGGCAGCTTGCAACTGAAAAGAAGTTCTAATTAAAACAGATCTCTATCTCATACCATACACAAAATTATACAGGATTAAAAACAAAGTTACAGAAGTACTATGTGAAATTACTATAAAACATGTACATGCTTGGGGTAGGGTTTTCCTGAGTAAAACACAAAATCCAGAGAAACCTTAAAGAAAGAAATTTAACTATATAAAAATATCTGTATAACAAGATAACAGGAAGAGTTAAAAGCAAGCAGTGACTATGTAAGTACATACATAAAATCAAAGGTAATAGCCATAATACATAAAGCATTCCTAAAACTCATTAAGAAAAACTGTCAAAACTCAACAGGAAAAAACGAACAAAAGATAGGAATCAGCAATTCACTGAAAGTCCAACCGACACATAAAAAGAAACTCAACCATATTAGTAAGCAACGATATGCAAATTTTTAAATGAAATATTTTTCACCATTAGCAAAAATGTAAACGGTGGATGATGTTGAATTCTTCTTCGTATGTATGAAGAAATAACCTATTATGTAAATTATTGGTATAAATCCCTTTTAATGTACAATTAAGCAGCAGTCATCACTATTTTTAAAATGTACCTACCATTTGACCCAGCAATTTCACTTACTGTTCCTATACTGCCAGAAATACTTACATAAATACACAAAGATATATGCTAAGGATGTTTAAAAAAGCACCACTATTTGTAACAAGAAAAAAACTGTTAACAGACTCAATGTCCACTAATAGAGAAATAGTAAATAAATTACTGTTCATCCATACTGTGGAGTACCATGCAGCAGTTAAAAAAAAAAAAAATGAACGAATTCAATTTATATCATGGAAAGGTCCCCTACATGGAAAAAAAGCAAGATGCAGAACCATACATGCAAAATGATTCCATTTTTGCGAAAAAATAAAATAAAATAAAAATAAACCTTCTTGTAAACACACATACATTATGTAACCACGTGGAAAAAAATAGAAAATGTTACACACCAAACTGTTGACAGTGGTTACCTGTGGGGAGGGGGTAGTAAAAAGATTTTTTCCTGTGTGCTTTTGCATTTTTTTAAATAAAGACAATGAATGCAAGTGCTATTCGTGCTTAAAAAAAAAAAAAAAAAAAGAAGCAAAAAAGGCAAAGAAAATCTAGGTCTTCCCACCCCATCAAACTTTTATTCAAAAAATTAAAAATTAAAAAAATTAAAAAGCTCGCTTGAATGGATGAAGTGTATTCTTACCTATCTCTTCTTGAATAGAGACAGGTGTATGAGACTCTCTTTCTCCATTTTCAGGCTCATCAGCTGCCTTAGCAGATTCGCTCTGGGAAGAATTTAGTTCACTGCTGCTGTTACTGTTTTCCAGATTAGGCTGGATGGAGGTAGTGGTAGCACTAGTGTTACTGCTGTCACAGGTCTTGTTAGGGTCTTCTAGAAAAATAGAATATCTGATTTTTAGATTAGAAATCACATGAAAAGCCACTGCTTTGCCAGAAAAGACATTTCGCTGTTTTAGGTTTGCATTACAAAGCTAGATTTCAAAAAGAAAAGCTGCTCACGTAGGAAGGATGTAATGTCTGAGATTTATAAGCAACACCCTAGGAGTTGTTTTTTAAGCCTTTCAGTCTATTAACTCAGACTCTTAGCATCTGAGTCTCTAGCACAAGGCAGACAGCCTTTCAGTTACCCCAGAGCTGAAGAAGAAGAATAAAGTGATAGAATTATCCCACAAAATGTAGAAATGGTTTTGAGATAATCCCTCAAAATCTGAAATTTATATTCTTTCCGAAAAGTAGTCAAACAGTATTAGGAACAGTATTAAACAGGATTATTTATCTCTAAGATTTTCTGCTTGAATTCTGTGTTCCCAAATTAACTAGAAGGTAACGCTTAAGTCATTGTAAATTTTAAGAACAATTTAATAGTTAGCAGTAAAAGTACTGCTCCTAAAAGAATTATCAAAATGAACACTACCATGAACAGAGAGCCTAGGTCTTTCCATGGTAGTTCAGAAATTAAGAGCCTCCCTCCCTCTGAATTTCATTTTGCCACTAAGATACTTTTAAAATCAATCCCCTAAATTAAAAAGTGGTTGGCCGTATATCACAAAGGCTATCTCTAATGAATAATGAGTTCCTAGTTTTTTTTGCGAGAAGAATCCCAACAACCTGATAGGAGAATGAGAAAATCTATCAGCAGTCACAAAAGAAGTAAAAATGGCCTTGAAACATATGGAAAAATGCTCACTTAATTCAAACTAACAGAAATGCAAAGGAAAACTATACGGAGCTTCCCAGTTATCAGACTGGCAAAATTCCAAGTCTCACAATACATTCAGGTGAAGAGGCAGTTTGCTAACAGGCACTCCCACACACAACACGGTGAGAGTGAAAAATGGGGCAAAGCGCATAAAAAGGAACTGACAATATCTACACGTGCACTCACTCGTAACCTACCAATCCCATGTCTAGAAATCTATCCCAAAATACGCTGGCAAAAAAATACTAAATTACTTATTTACAGAGCCACTCATTCCAGCATTATTTATAATGGCGAAAGACCAGAGACACAATGTCCATCAATGGGGCGCTGGTTGAAAAAAAGGTGACACACACATGAAATATCATGCACCATAACAGGACCAGGGAAATCACTATATCCACATCTGAATGGTTAAATGTAAAAAAGCAAAGTGTGAAATAGTACTTATAGTATGCCAACTTCTGTGTAAGAAGGGGAGAAAAATACAAATTTAAGGACAGATTTTTGCCTTTACTTATAAAAATTTTAAAACACTGGAAAAATAACCAAAAATTAATACAAATGACTACCTAAGACGGAAGGAAAGGAAATGATTACCTAGAGAGGGAATATACACAGTTCGATTTTGGAATCATGTAACTGTTTTACATTTTTTTAATTTTAATTTTAATTTTTATTATTATTTCTTTTAATGTTTTATTTATTTTTGAGACAGGGAGAGACAGAGCATGAACAGGGGAGGGTCAGAGAGAGAGAGACACAGAATCCGAAACAGGCTCCAGGCTCTGAGCTGTCAGCACAGAGCCCGACGCGGGGCTCGAACCCACGGACCGCGAGATCATGACCCGAGCCGAAGTCGGCCGCTCAACCGACTGAGCCACCCAGGCGCCCCTTTTACATTTTTTTAAAATTAAAGTTAGAAATGCAATCCCTAAAAATTGAAAACTGAAATAAACCTAATTGTATATCAAGTTGTTGACATAACCATAAAATAAAAATTATTTTAAGTGACTTAGAAACACAGTACTTTGACTATACATCCTTAATGGAAATACAGCATAAGGATGAATAGAGAGCTACAAAAAAAAATCTGAAATGCTATTCAGTGGTCTTACTGTCAACAGTAATATTGATATTACAAAATTGCTATGATATACAAAATAATTTCCTTTTTTCTTTTTAAGTTTATTTGAGAGTGCACACATGTGCATAAGCTGGGGAGGGGCAGAGAGAGGGGGAAAGAGAAGCCCTCTGTCAGCACAGAGCCCAACATGGGGCTCGAACCCATGAACCATGAGATCATGACCTGAGCCAAAACCAAGAGTCAAACACTTAAACCGACTGAGCCACCCAGGTGCCCACAAAATCATTTCTTATTAATGTATACCAGGGTATTAATATTAATAACATTATTATTAATGGAGATCTGTATGAGAATAAAGCAAAAATGTAAGTTACTACTCTGTTAAGAGCTAATAAGGCTTTCAGTGTGAGAGAAGTGATGCAAGTTTAAAAACAAAAACAAACAAAAAAAAGAAAAAAACACCAAAACTAAGTATGAAATCCTCAATCTGAATTGAAATGTCAATATGAATTGATGGTCTTTGTCTTTTCAAAAATACTTATTTGCTAACACCACCCACCAAAAAGGCCTAGAGGCAGTGACAGCCCAAAGCAGTAATACTCTGGGTCCAGATTGTGGTCTCTAAATATCATTCCCCACTAAAAGGAACCAGGGCTTCTTGGAGGAATGACTAATTCCAGGTCTGGTGTAAGAAATACATAAGGGAAGCCCCACACGTCTTATTCTGCCAAAAAGTGGAAACGCTATCTAAGGTTACCAGGGTTATGGAAAAAGGACTCAAAAGCCAACACGAAGGGGACTGTGGTCAATATAAGCAAAATAAATAACTACAACTGAATGAAAGAAACTGAGTATATGAAGGTCCAGGATCTCAAACAGATTCTTAAAATGAGAAAGCCATGCCCTTGTGTAAAAGTCCATAACTCATGACTCACCACTGAAGGTAACTGTTATACCAACTCCTGACTCTGAAAATTAAAATTAAAGAGAAATAATTTAAGCATTTATTCCTGCTCTGACTACAGTTCAAGGTATTCACACAGCCTTGGTTAATGAGGGAAAATTCTCCACAGAGTTTCAGTTAAAAAAAAAAAAAATAGAAAAAAAAAATCAGTGTATTATAATCTCCAAATAGATAACTATTTCTGAAATGACCATGAATGAATGAGAGGTTAACAGGAAATTTTATAATGTCACTACCTGAACTCACTGATGAATTTCACCATTTATAAAGGCAAAACAAACAGACATCATATCATGAGCCTTTTGATGCTATATGATTTGAAGTACCCAGAGCACATAGCTTATGGAATATTCTTGCCAAAAACAGTTAAAAATGAATGTAATCAAGCTTTTAGAATAAATTAAAGAACACTAAGAAGAAGGAAACAGACAAGTTCCAAATGCAGGATACCCATAGCAGGATTACACTAGTATTCTTCAACAAGTCAACAGCGTACAGAAAAAATTGGGGGAAAAAGAGTACTCTAGACTAAGAGGCTCAAGAGATGTAAAACCATATGTAATGGGGCACCTGGGAGGCTCAGTCAGTTGAGCAACTGACTCTTAATTTTGGGTCAGGTCATGATCTCACGGTTGTGAAACCAAGTCCTGTGTCCGACTCTGCATTCAGTGTGGAGCCTGCTTAGGATTCTCTCTCCCACTCTGCCCTTCCCCCGCTTGTGCACAGTCTCTCTCTCTCTCTCTCTTTCTCTCTCTCTCTTTCCCTCCATCCCTCCCTCCTCCCCTGCCTCAAAATAAATAAATTTTTTTTTTGAAAAGGTTCTAGGGGTGCCTGGGTGGCTCAGTCATTTAAGCATTTGACTCTTGATTTCGGCTCAGGTCATAATCTCACAGTTTGCGGGTTTGAGCCCCACGTCAGGCTCTGCACTGATAGCGTGGAGCCTGCTTGGGATTCTCTGTCTACCTCTCTCTCTGCCCCTTCCTCCCTCTCTCTCTCTCAAAAATAAATAAACATTTTGAAAAAAGAATATATTTTTAAAAGGGTTTTAAATAATATGTAACACAATACACCTGCTATCAAGATTAAAACAATTAAAAGAGAAATATACAGTTTTTTAGCAAATCATGTAAATCAATTCAACGAAGCAAAAGCATGTGAATTATACATCAGTTGGAGCTCCAGTATCAATAGTCTTGATTCTACTGTGTATCCCTTATAAAAACAAAACATGTTAGTGAACACAGGTTTCAGAGTGACAATTTACTTCAGGCAGGGGAGAGGGAGGCAGGGAATATGACTGGGGAGATGATTATAGATGCAGGTTAGTTTCAAAGCAGGACTTAGCTCTTTGTTTTAAGTGACAGGTTCCTAAGTATTTACTTTCATTATCATTAAGCAATTTAAAACCTTAATGAATAAATTAAGGGGGACTATACAATGGTCAATGATGAATACAATTAACTAAGGATTATGATTTATCTAACAATGTACACCTAGGGTCAAAAAAGAAAACAATTTTGGGGCACCTGGGTGGCTCGGTCGGTTAAGCGTCCGACTTCGGCTCAGGTCATGATCTCACAGTCCGTGAGTTCGAGCCCCGCGTCGGGCTCTGTGCTGACCGCTCAGGGCCTGGAGCCTGTTTCAGATTCTGTGTCTCCCTCTCTCTCTGCCCCTCCCCTGTTCATGCTCTGTCTCTCTCTGTCTCAAAAATAAACGTTAAAAAAATTAAAAAAAAAAAAAAAAAGAAAACAATTTTTTATTTCAGCAAAAAAAGGGCGGAGTAAAAAAAATCACGGGTAAAGCAAATATGACAAAATCTTGACAATTTTCTATCTAAGTGTTAGATATATGGTAGTGGGGGTGCAGCCATTATACTCTTCTCTTCTGTGTATGTTTGAAAATTTTTATAGTAAACAAATTTTATGTGAAGGATGGAAATAATTTAATATCTGACAGCTGCAAACCACTAACACAATCAACTAACTCTTGTTGGAAAAATGCATATATCTGAAACAAAAGAAGTCTCACATGAATAATATCAAATTCTTCACTAACCATTCTTTTCACAGCTGTAAAGTCTAGATTTGTAAAGCGCAGCAGTCCTAATTTATAAAGGATTAA